TTGTAGTATCAGGCTGCAACATAACAACATTGAAAAAAGTGAAGGGGGTCTGAATACTTTTCGAATGCACTGTATATCAGTGTTTCCCAACCGTGGCAACGTGAAAATGTGTGGACTTCAACTCCCCATGGTGGCTGAGGAATTCTGGGAGTTGAAGTCCATGCAACTTCAACTGCCAAGGTTGAGAAACACTGATCAATACGAAGAAAGCCAGCTGTAGGCTTGTTTCTTCAACTGATCATTGCCCATAGAACAAAATGTGCTGGGACCCACAGTTATTTGTCAGTTTGATGGCACTGCTGAAATTATGGCACCTCAAAGACACACCAATGTACTTACCCCAAGAACAACAAGTTTTCAACACTGCCATTCCCCCAAAGTTGCTCTGAATGCCTGATATTTACAGAGAGCTGACATTATTTTACATCATTTGAGTGATGTCACCTATTGAATGCTGCGGGTATAACACTGAAACAAGGCTAAAGTTTCAAGAAGCTTTCAACTGATCAACTGGATAATCAGTTTGTTGTTCCAACTGTATATTCCATGCAATAAAATATATATTAGGACATGTCCCCAACTTCAAGGGACATTTATTAAGCTGTTGTAGAAATCATCTAAAGCAGCTGAATGATGCTAATATCTTAGATTTTGTCTTTTTATTTTCCCAAGTAAAATCAAACATGCACCATCCCTAGGATATCCATATATACAACTCTGTTCATGTGTATTTTGGGCATCCTTTAAGAAGAACTATTCAGATGGACCCTATGAGAAGATACATGATTCAACAGCCACCTAGCTAAAGATAAGCAAATCTGGGGGATTTTCAGTGACTAGATGGAAGGGTACTTTGAAACCTTAACTATCCTGCTTTCAGCTAAGTGAAGAAAATATATATTAAATAATGCATGCATTAATCTTGTCATTAGGAATCTGTTTTTATTTTGGGATAATGTATCACAGTAATATTCAGAATAATAAAAGGCAAACTATGTTGCTAATATCTCCAGTTTGCTTTATTAGCCCAGAGGGGGGCAGCACCGCATCATACAAACCTGCTACATAACTACAATACTTACAATGAAGCTAATATACTAAAATTGACACAAAATGTGGAGAATGTAGAGATGGATACAACTGCAGCACTTAAAAAAAAAAAAAGGCTGGGATGTAATGATGAGTTAGGACAATAAATCAAAGCAAGTTATGTCTGCTGAATTCCATCCACACCCTAACCAGCTCAAAGGCTATACCAGGTTTTGTATGTCATGTTGAGGGCTGTGCTCCAAAAGAGAAGGGCTTCAGGATTAAATGGGTGCCTTAACCATCTGCTAGGCTTAAGGCTCTACAAAACCTACCAAAGTTTCCCAAAATGTGAAAAAAAGGTCCCACTTAGATGTGGGAGGGTTGCAGGGACCACAAAAGTGATGCTGGCAGGCTGCATGTGGCCCCTGGATACAAGTTTTGCATCTCTCCCCTGTATTTAGGGCATGTCCATTTTGACAAAAAACACTGAGCTCCAGCCTAGGCAGGAAACTGCTTGCTATAAGTTTATTCTGACCTTGGGTTCTTCTAGTAAAATACAAAGCTAATCTTTCTGATCCTTTTGTTATACTTGGAACAATTCATCATTCCCAGCCTTCCCCTTGAGATCCGGTAGGCCCCTACCCTACTCTTTCTGACAAAGGGCCAATGGTCTTCCTGACTTGAACCTCTGGTAGTCTCCAACAATGACTGCAGAGATTACACCTCTGCATGAATTCTTTCATCCATTCAGAAGACACACCTGGACCAGAAAACTGGTCCATTCAATAACACAGAGACAGGATCTACTCAGAGGCCTGCTAATTCTGACTCTTAGATGGACTCCAGAATTAAAGCCTTGAAGATGCGAGAGTGAACTGTACTTTCAAATTTAACCCGGTTACCAGACTTTTGGGAAACAAATGCCCATTAATACATACCTTTAGCTTATCATTCTGAGTTGTCACTTCCTCAAGATCCTGGCGCAATTTCTCCAGTTCACTCAAGCGGTTTTGGGCAAGCTCCTTGTTTTCCTCAAGTTCCGCATTCATCTCCTCAAACTGTAAAATGGAAGAATACCAGGACCACAGATTTATAACTTTCTTTGTTTTGCACTCTCATTCTCTAACCTCCACCCCCACTACCTCTATTTTTTATAATTTGCCATAGAACCTTAAAAGTTACCTTTCGAGAGTTGATTGTGATTGTACCTCCATAGAGACTACTGCCTGCTCCATATACCTTGTATCCTTTTGAGTTTACCTGCAAGGATTACAATTTTAAGAAACAAATATTAAGATGATCTGTTTTCAAACATTTTACAGCTGTTAATAGGGCACTGTTCACAAAACTGCACACTGCTCAAGAGGAAAAATTATCCAATTAGTGTTAAGAGCTGATCCTCACTGCCATCATTTAAATAGACAATCTATATGATAATGTCTTTGGTCTCCCCAACTCCTTTGAAAATGTTGTTTTTTCAAGATTTCCCTCTGCAACTCTGAAGATTAGAAAGCTTTTTGCTTGCTCCTCCGTGTGCGCATTTTAACTTTTTAAAAGAAATCAACAATAGCCAGTAATTTCTGCCCCTCACAGAGATGTGCATAAACAATGTTAAAAAAGATAGGATTAGAGAAACATGTAGCCATGCTTCATGAAAAAAGTTCACTGATTTAAAGAGTTTATTCTGACTCAGAAAAATTTCAGATGAGGCAAGCCAAGTTCCACCGTTCATTCAAAACTGAGCAACTGAACACATTGTTTTTAGAATAGCATATTTATTATTATAAAAATACAATTTTGCTTGTTTCAGGGAATGGTAGGAAGCTATTTCAAAGTACTACCACAAACCACTGGAAACCTTTTCATAATAACTCAACAATCCTCTTTAAATGTCCAAAAGGAGTTTCCGTTGAGTTTCAAGAACAATTTCCCAATAGGAAATTAAAAGGGAGGGAGCCTTTCTTTTTTGAAAGCCAGTATATTAACATTTTATATTTTACCTCCTGTAATCTCATCCATTTAGTTTCCAGTTCTCATTTTTAAAAATCTGCTGCACTTTACAACTACTGTGCAACTTCAGAAACCCTCACTGAAATACAAAATGCCTATCTAAATAGGAAAGAAAGTCCAAATTGGAGATCACATTTTCACATTCCCCCAGACAGATATGTTTCTGTTTTTGAAACTGGGACTGCTAGAGAGAACTTACTCTTTCTAGAACGTCTGCCAGGTGTCTGTTCAGCCGCTGTTCTCGCTTGCGGATTTTGTCTGTATCCCACTGCAAGTCATCAATTGTAGTCTCCAGCACGGATACACGAGACTCTGCAGTCTCTACTTTCCCTTGTAATTTGGAAAACTGAGGCAAAGAAATTGGAAGGGACAGAAGTTAAATAAGATTCCTGTGTTTATTTTCAGAGTAATTACTTAATTTTGACATTCTGCTCATTAAATAAAAATCTTGGTTAATTTTTTTTACTTACATACCTTCACCAAGGATGCCACATACTTGCAAACAAAGGAATTTTCAGGGGCTACTAATGAAACTTCCCTCCTTGCTCCTCCTTTCTACTGCACCCACAGCCTACCCCATTCAGGATTTTCAATGCAAATTCCACAACCCATATACGCATCCTATGAATGGCTTGATTGTTCCTGTGCCAGAGTGCTGAACACAACTCTAAAGACACCTTCACAACATGAGAGACAATCATTAGAGTTTTAAAATGCCACAGTTACAGAATGCCTTTTCTGTAACAAATTATCATGCTGACTAATAATTCTGGGAGTTGTCCTAATGCAACAGGAGAACACTGAATTATATTACAAGCAGATTTACAACAGAATAAGCAAGTTTTTCATTTATTAATCTCCTATTTAAGAAATGTATGTCATGCTTTTCCCTACAAAAGAAGGCATCGCTTTGACAGGCTTACAATTTTTTAAACTGAATATTAAAAAAAGAACCACCAATATTTAAAACACATTTATAGCAACCTGAAAGCAACACACAAAGAAAAAACTATAAGTGACTGAAGATAATTGTTAGTGAATAGGATTAAACAAAACCAGAATAAAATCTTCATTAAAAGAATGTGATAAATCCTGGTCCCAAGAATCGACACCTTGAACATTACTGAGAAACAAACAGGAAGCCAGTGTAATTCACAGAGGACAAATCCCATACAAGGGACACAGCACATCCCAGAGAGCAATATTACATTTTGACCTTGATGTCATTTCCAAATACTTTCCAGAAGCTGCCCCATATAGTCCATGCGGCAGTATTCAATGCAGGAAGAGAAAGGGCCGTAAATGTGACCAGAATCTCTTTCTCCAGAAAGATGAACAGGTGATACAGATGAAGGGAAACACATGAGTTCCTGGCCAGAGGAGCTGCAGCCCCTGTCCTCCAAGAGCAGTGCAAGGTATAGAACTACCCAAAGCTGCAATCTTTTAGAGGGAATGCAACTCCATCCACAATATGCTGTATCTCAGTCCAAACCTAGCTTGGTAGCCCACATTTAAATCACCTCTGTGTATTATTGCACCTGTATTCTCTGTCTAGGACACATGAAATGCAACAAAGCCTACAGCAGCCACAATGGACTGAAGTTGACAACAGTAATGGGAAGATTATATTAAGTAGTTTTTGCCTCAAGAAGAGCTAATTGTGGAGCAATACGTATGAAACCTTAGCACCTAAGAGGGTAGCTGGGATTGCCAAATATTTGAGAACAGGCTGAGGACATCAAGTGCCAAAGAGGATGGTGAAACTATAACTTAGTGGAGATGAGAAGAAGCCGGGATCTTATGGTTCATGCTCTTGGCAGAAAAAATATGAGGATCCTGATGCTGTTTTCCCAATAAAATCTGAATAAACAGAATGGAAGCACTCTCTGAGGGCAGCCATCTGCACCCACATCTAGTAACATCAAGAAGCCTGTTCCTACCTCTAATCAACATAAGCAGCTCCAAATAGCAGTGTATTTATTTATTTCATTTAACTTGCTATACTGGTGACTTCTAAAGTATCTCAGAGTTTTAGAATAAAAATAAATTTAAAATCAAGGACAAATATTTTCTTTGCTCTTCTTATGAGAGCTGATGAATGAGAAATTATTTATTAATTGAACATCGGTTTATTGTATTTCAATCAGTATTTTAACCAGTATTTATTTTTGTTTTTATTGTAAACCGCCCAGAGTCATGCAATGAGTAAGGTGGGCAGTGATTAAATTTGAAATATAAATAAATAAATAAATAAATAAATAAATAAATAAATAAATAAAAGACCAGTTGCGCCCACAGCATTGGTAGCAATGAACTGCACTTGGTATTGGTTCAGCTTTACCCACTGCTGTGATTTCAAACACAAACGTATACCATTCCACCTAATAATTGACCGGCACGATGAGAGCTCTGCTTCCTGTTTTTCCTGTTTCTTTCTTCACAGTCTGTTTTTAGGTTCAACAGCTTATAGTTGCTCCCTTCGCCTAGCATGTGAACATCACTAAGCTATTCTTCTCCTAAAGGCCTGAAACTTTGGACTGTGCATGTTACAAGACCAAAAAATAATATACATGCAGATCCAGCAGCATCTTAGTTCAATTAACATCCTTCTCCTTTATGTGTTTCCCCTGCCCCCCCCCCCAAAAATCAGGCCACAATTTTCCTGGCCCCATCACTTTTGCCACACGGCTTCATGCATCTTTTTCTTGTACCTCCTGAGACATAGAGCGGTGTTTCTCCTGAAGCAGATCAGCCAATTCCTGTAGCCTCCTGTTCTCATTTGCTAGGTAGGAATTCAGCTCTTGGACAGCCTCTTCCATCAGAGATACATCTGAAGGAGAGAATAAAAAAGACAGAACATTATCATATTCAAGCTACCAGACCTCTAAATATTATGTAAAAAATAGAAATAAATAAGATGTGGTAATTGTTATATTTTTCATAGGAAATATTTTTATTTTTTAAAGCAAGTTTCTAGTCTTGCAGGCTTTAAGAACAGACTTCAGAAGGGCGGGAACAATTCTAAGTAATCTTGCATAATTTCAGAGTATTATTTCAAAAGACTAGGTAACTAAAAAAAAGTAAAACAAATAAAATGGCAGCATCCTGCATAGTTTTTATTATTGACATTTAGAAGTAATCTTTTGTTCAAAACTAGAACTAATGAAGGGATCTATATTTTGATTTTGAGTGTCCAATCTATATTAGATCAGAAGATTTTAGGATTTCTCTTTTCTATATCATTTTATTGCTTTACCTTTTGTTTTTGTTTGTTTCTTTTCACACTTTCAGGAATATTTCTAAATATATTTATAATGGTCTAAATAATATTATAGAGAATTCCCCACTGTTGCACAGAACTGAAGTACAATAAATAAATCAAACATAAAATAAGTATTTACAAATTATAAAATATATAAATAACCATTGTAGATTCAAACCTCAAGCAGCAAAAAGTTTACTATGAATAAGTTGAAATATTAATGGTGTCTGGTACTATCCATATAAAGCAAATACTTTATGGAGTTCAACTAAACCAGAAAATACAACATGTAATTCAGCAATAGGAAGATCGATCAAATTAAAAAAGCAACTGAACCAAATAGCACCACTTGCACGATAGGAAGGTTACAATAAAACAACAGTGCCTTTTGATGAACTACAGTACAGAATAGACTATACAGCAGACCATTCTGGAAGTAGTTTGGGACTAAACCATATGAGGATAGACAAATTACTTAGCTTGGAAGGCATCTGCCAATCAGAAATCTCATCATAAAGTAACATGGGATCCCAAGGAATCATCACATATTACTCATGCTCCTGCATTCTAGGTTAGCTAGTATTTCCAGACAATATTAAAGGACTTTTGCACAAAATGCACATTGCAACTGTTCAGCCTCAAGGTGACTGAAGCCATGCCTCTTTCCTCCAGATAGGGGTGTACCTTCTTTATCAGTCAAAGCTGATCAGACAAAGCAATTTCTACTGCACAGCATCCATGCTGGATCCAGGAAGACCCCAGATTGCAAAGTTGTTCCTTAAGGGACAGCGTAACTCTATTCAGAATAGGTGTAATTTCCAAACTCTGAAATCCATCTCTCAGAATCAGTTAACAAACTTGCCTGAATTCAGCTAGCCTCTTCTCCCATATTTATTCCTCTACAGCCTGGAGACCCATGGAAGCATTAGATATTCTATCTCAGAACTTTTCTGATGACACTTAGCTCCAAACTTGCTTATGATCCTTCCAAGGGACTTCATACAGATATTAAACAGTATGGAAGAAAATATGGAAATTTGCAGGTTCCCCAGGACAGTTCCTAAGAAGTTGAGCTGAAATCTCCCAATATCACTTTTTGACTGTGCCCAGAGAAAGAGAACTGGAATCACCAGAGCCTGGTGCTTTCAGTTCCCAATTCCAACAAGATACTATACTTAATGGTATCAAAATATGTTGCTGGACTTGAAATCCGATCAACTTCAGACAAAAGGGGCAATAGTCGGGGGTAAACAGGAATTGGAAATTCAGTAATATGAAAAGAGTCAAAAAGTGTCCTTAGTATCATTTATCAACTATGCCAAAATTCATTTTATCTGATAACTCCAGTTCACTATAAGGCACAGCCTGCCCTATTCTGGCAACTCTCCCGATGTGAAGTTGCAATTCCCAGCCAAATGTCTATTTTGGCATAATTTCAAAAGGAACAAGTATTATAAATCATTATTTATTTGCCAAATTGGCAACAAAGTCAATGGATTAGCAACAGATTAGCCTATATTTCCTGAAAGGTTCCGTAAGCATGAATGTTTTGAAAATGCAATGTAGTATATCCAAAAGTTCTGGAAAATGCCATACCTCCGCTGTTCAGCTTCTGGGACAGCACATCCACTCTCTCCTGCAGTTTATCATACATCGTCACAATCTGTGTGACTGCACGGCGGGAAGCCTCAAAACGTTCCTGCAGTTGGGATTCCATTTCTTCACTGGTGCTGCTAGCCAGAATAGCCAGAAAGGAGAATGCAGGCTCAAATATTTCTCCTAAATTATAGCAGTGCAAGAAAGCAGTTATAACTAGATGCAATTTGGATCCAAAAGATAAATCATTCCATACCACCATGAGCTCACAAGAATCTGTTTGTAAAACATCCACCAACCTGTATCTGATACCTTACCTCGCTCCCTCTCATCTTTCCGCTCTTGGTTGCTGTCCGAATCTGGTTCTGGTTCTGGTACTACCAGCGCTTTTCGCTCTGAGAGGAGATCCCCAAGGCCTTGATCCAAGTCATAGCGCTTCAAAATGATGCGAATGTTCTCATCAAACTGAAAGAAGGGAATGTTTTATTTTTAAGAACGTTTGGGCAAGCAAAATTAAAGGGATGGGAACCTTAGGAGAAAAAATGCAGCAGACCTGACTCCAGTAGCGGTTGATGATCAGCAGCGAAGCATCATCTGTGGCCTGACGCCTTTCCAGCTTCTCTATATGCTCTCGCAACTCATCTTCAATAGCTTGTCGTTGGTCCAACATCTCTGCCAGCTTTCGGTTCTTAGTCTGGAGTGTACGAATGTCCAGTTCTTCCTGAAAGAGAGCCAACATAGTACAGTGATTAGAATGTTGATCTAGGGCTGGGAAGAACCAGGTTCAACAAAGTCCATCATTTTGTGCCATCATTCTCTCTCCCAGGTGAATCTATCTCACACAGTTGTTTCAAGAATGAAAGTGGGGATGGGACTGGAAACATGTATGTACCTGCAGCACAAGAAGCAAATGCAAGATACAAATAAATCACATGAACATCAGTTATTAAAACAACCATTCATTTCAATGTATGTTTGAAGTAGTAAGCTAGCAGTAGGCAACCTGATGGCCTCCACATTTTTTTGGACCGAAGTACCTACAATCCTTTGCTACTGAAGTCCAAACTATCTGGAGAACACTAGGTACCTACCAACTAAAACCTGATTCATAACATTTCACATTATAGGAAAGAGGTTATCACAGAATGTTCCTCAAAATATCCCCCTCCCTATAAAAATCCATAAAAAAAATTAATATGAAAGGGAGAAGGAATGAACAATCACTTACATTAATCACCCACCTCCTATCCTAGGAACAAATTTGTCACTTCCATGAGAGCTAGACTCAAGTCCACCCAGCTTTGTGACAGAACTCACAGTGGCTGTGGGAGTCCAGGAGAGCATTAACAGCAAAATATTATTGCATTCCACAGAAAGAATAAAACCTAACATAAGATACAAACCGTTGAGGAAACGCCACCAAGCTTAATAGTCTCCACAGTGGTCTCTGAGTCCTCAACTCCTGCCTTTTTCTCCGGAGGAGCTGATGGACTAGTCTCTGCAGCCACTCGCTTGTTCCCAATCCCAGACATAGTTATAAACTGGGGGTTCCCACTTCAATTTTTTCCTGAAAGAGAAGGAATATTGTAAATGTCTGATTTTTAAACTTGCTCATTTATCTTGTTAAGAAGCATTTCCAATTATCAGGAAAAACTAAACAAAACAACAAATTATATTTGAAACAAAATTCTTGCAAATCCCCTCTCCTGTATTGTAATTTTTACATCTGAGACCAAGTTGGTTTTAAACCAACAAAGGGGGGGGGGGACCCAAACCATTCTCTTTCCATTTTGAAATCTACAAAACGATCCCACAGATGCTTGTTCTTTTAATTCACTAATTACTGCTGTTTTGCCCATTTGAGATCTGCTGACTACTCCCTGGGATCAGTGCTGAGAATGTTTACATTTGATTTAGTTATTTTAAAGCACGCAGGCATTTGAACTGTCGCCTAGTTGTGGAGTCCTTGATGCTCTCCGAGCTTGACTGTTTGCTTGCAGACATTTCATTACCCAATGAGAACCCCACCAAAAACTGGCAAGGCAAGCTATTGTATATAAACAGTCAGCAAACCCCACACTTGCTTGCACTAAAGGTGTTACCTAGTCGGGTAAGGAAAGGTCTGCAAGCAAACCACCAAGCTCAGAGAGCACCCGGAGCTGCACAGTTCCGCCCTGAGCTACAGAGGTTCTCTTTTGCTGTCATCTAGTTTTCAGTAAGCAGAGCAGCAGAAATACGAAGGCAGCAAGAGGCTGAAACAGAGTTAACGAACAAAACATATGGTAGACTAAGGAATTAAGTTTATCCCATCCCTGGATAAAAGGGATCCCCCGACAAGCAGGTGCGTGGCCCTGGGGAGCAAGAAACCGAAAACAAGAACCGATGAAACATACTGAGAAAATAGCAGGTGCTCCGCTCTCTTCTAAGTGCCTCTTGAGCAGCGGAGGACGGAGGCCGCTTGCTCAAAGAAGAGGCGGAAAAGCACTTTGCTCGTGCTCAGAGGCACTCTAACGAGGGACGCCTAGAGGGCCCAGAGCCGCCCAGGGCACACCGCTCACCGCCCGCTGGGTCTGCAGTCCGACGGCCTCGGGTCTCCCTGCCCCACACGCTCCTCCACGTCCCCCGGCACCCCAAGCCGGAAAGAGGCCACCCCATTCACGCCAGCCCTGAACCCCGCCTTGTCAGCCACCCCCGCGCGCCGCCCCGGGACAGGGCGAGGGCGACACCCCAAGAGCGAGGCCCCACCCCGCCGATACACACACTCTCTATCTTTCCCCCCACTTGCCCACCGGCCCCACAGAGCCTCCGGCCTACGACAGTTGACACCGGAAACAATACGCCGACGACCAACGCGAAGCAACCAATCCGGCCTCGCTTCTTTTCCTCCTTCGAACGGCCTATTTGCCCTGACTCAAAATGGCCGCCGCCTCCGCACCACAGCTTCATAATCCGCAGAGTGAGCGAAGGTGCTCAGCTTCCGGGGGAAGTTGGCACATCTGCCGCCTTGTCGACGACTGCGGCGTCCGAAGGGCGGCAGTAGGAACGTATTTAGCTCCCTGGCTTCCCGCTGTGGTCGGAGGTACGCTTTCTGAGCGGATTTCTCTCTTTTTTTTAAGTTAATTTTTGTTAAGTGAGTTTTTTGCAAAGTAAAAAATAACACAAATTTAAAGAAAAAGGAACGCAAAGAGAAGTAAAAGAAAAGTGATAAGTAAATAGAAAAGGGAAGGAAGGAAGTAGAAGTAGAAGTAGAAGTAGAAGTAGAAGTAGAAAGACGTGGCTTCTGATCTTCTTTATAGCAGTTATAAATGCATTTATATTTTATGCTCTCTTCTTAAGGTTACATCATGGCTCCCTTTTTTTCACGTTCTATTCTTTCTAATCCTCAAACCCATAAATCACAAGTTCATGTTTTTCCGTTTTCAGAAAAAAAAAGTCATTTTCTGTGCGGATTTCGAACAAATTGAGGGCTGAATAATTTCCAAGGAAGCATTTTGATGCGTTTTCGAACTTCACCGAGGGACAAACTTCAGAAACGTAGACCAAACTTTCGGAACATGGTCCCCTCCGAACCCAATTCCCATCCTCCCGGATTGCTGAGTGGGACTGATGGGATTTGTCGTCCCTGGGAAAGATAATTGTACGGTCCTGAACTTACTGGACTTGCGAACCCATCTCTCTCTCTCTCTCTCTCTCTCTCTCTCTCTTTTTAGATAGCCAAATGTGAGCGCTCTCCCGATGCGAAGAGCACAATTAATCTCCACCGCTTCAGCCCTGCGGATGAATTATTTCTATTTTTATTTTAAAATCAACCATTCCATGCTTTAAAGGCACTCCTACTTTCTGGATATGTTAGAGCTCTTCCCCTCTCTGTGTTTAGAAAAAGCGGGGCGTCGTGTGTGTGTGTGCATGCATGTAAAACATACACACACATACACATACAGTCATATGTGTGTGTATGTGTCTCCGTGGGTGTCTTTTTAAATTGAAAAAGAAGAAAGGCGAGGACCTGGCGAGCCCGGCTTGCCGATGCTGGCCAAGGTGCTGAAGCTGGTGGCCCATCCCCTCCGGCGCGCTTGAAACTACAGTTCCCAGCATTCCTTGATGCCTTGAATTCTATACGGAAGCCGCTTAGGCCACGGCGAATTTGGCTCCGCCGCCCAATCGGGCTCTTTCACGCCCTTTCGTTCACTGTGGCTGAACCGCGGCTCGTGAGCGGCCGATGAGCGACTTCCGTTTCCTGCCTCTTCGCCTTCTGCTTCCTGCTCGGCGGGTCGGTGGGGGAGGAGGAGGAGGAGGAGGAGGCGCGTGCCTCGCTCTTTACGCCGAGGTAAACGCCACAGGGATAGGCAGGAGGCGCCCTCGGGGACCTTGAAGACGAAGCTTGGGGTGGGGGTCCTCAGGGGGCCGCAGACCAAGTTCCTTTTCGACCGTGTCTGGATATTTATAATTGCTTAATGGGTGTGTGTATGGGATATACCCGTCCTCCCAAACGTAATGCTTCAGCTGTTCGGGTGGCTGGCGAGGGTTGCAGCCTTGAGGGAGGAGTGTGCAGTTCTCACCTTTTCCAAGTGTGTAAATCTGCAAGGAGGAGCATCCTTCCCTTCCCAGCTCATGACTTCCTTCCCCTTTCCTCCCCTCTTTCACTTCTCTTTCCGTTTCCCTCTTCCCAAGAAATGCAAAATAGAGTTGAAGGACAGTTGTTTCCGGTTTCTCCCAGTGAAATAAATTTTATGGAGGGACACAGGTTGAAGGAGAATCCATTCCAGCCAAACATCTGTTTAATTCAAATTTGTGCAATGTATGTACGTTTTATATAATATATGTAATTTTTATGTACAGGTAGTCCTCGCTTGGCAATCACAATTGGGACCTACAACTTGGTTGCTAAGCAGCGTGGTCACTAAGCGGAAAATCATGTGACCATTGCTTACAGTTTTACTTCCGCCTTCTCTATTAACTCTGCTTGTCGCAAGCCAGTTGTGAAGTGCCCAAATGGGGACCACATGACCACGGGATGCTGTGACAGTTGTAAATGTGAGGATTGGTCGCAAAATTGTTTTTTCATTGTTGTAACTTCAAACGGTCACTGCACGAAGCAGTCGGTAAGCAAGGACAACTTGTAATGTATTAACATTAACTGGACTGATTTGCTGCTTGTTGCGTCTGGAATCATAAGCAGTATGTGAGGAGTTGCTAGGGAGACGCAATGAAAGAGTGCTTTCCATCTAGCTTGTGAGCTCCCTGAGTTCATCACTGTGGGACACATGGTGGGTTAGGTGGGACTTTGGCCTGATCCAACAAGGTGGTTCTTATGGCCCATGATGGAATAGTAATTTTCAAAAAGTTCCATATTAAAAGAATGATCATCAATGAATTTGGTATGAGTGATTAATTATGCTGTTGAGTTTGGACTTTTGTTACAGAGTGCTTCTTCCTAAACATATGTGATAGATTTACCCCCAGAACATTTACATGTGGCAGAAGGCATAGTGTCCCTGTGTTAGTGGAAAACATCTGCAGCTCAGGTTTGTCATATTGTGGTGTTAGAATTCTCCGAACTAGGTTTGGGGGTTGCAAATATTTCATTCTATTGCAATTAAGGGGCAGGTTGGGAGGTTTTAATATCCATTCTGGTTCAGTTTTTTCGGAGGGTTGACAATGATAATTTTGATACTTTCAGTTTTTTGCTTTCTTTTTGACTTGTAATATCAATAGCTGTTATCGCAGTTTTGTGCCTAGAATTAGTTCTAGTGTGGTATGCACTATTCATGATGTGTTGGTATTTGCGTAGTCTAAGGAATGCATCTGGTTTCATCCATGTATTTTCCATCCACTTCCACAATTTATAGGTGGTCTATAATTCACACTGGTTGGTAGGATATATTGTCATTGGTATTCATACAAGAAGAATTGTTCTTCTCTAGTGGAAATATGTCTACCTACAAAGCTTTCCCATTTCTGAGCAGGGTGAAGTGTTTCACCTTCATACATCAGTGCAACAGTTGAGCTCAAAGTTGTGTAGCTCAAAGTTAACATGTAGTTTTGTTAGAATGTTCTGCTAGATTTTTGGGTTGCACAGATTTCATTAACATACTAGGTAACATCATCAATGCAGGAGATGCAGGGAAATGACGTTTGTTAGTTGGCACCAGTTTTATGTATCTATTATGTCAGATATGTACATGCTTTGGTGGGAGAGTTTTGTGGAGTTTTGCATGAATGAAATCTTTGGGTTTTGTTTTTGTTTTTATTTTTTCTTTTGATATAGAAAGAAGTTGCACATCCAAAATAAAAATGACCTATCTCTTGCTTTCCCAAATACAAGGATGAAAATAGGGGCAAATTTATTCACAATGATGGCTTATGAGCATTATTACTCATATCAGCAGAGCATTTTTTAAAGGCTTAACAACTGGAACACTAGTTGGAAAGAGCATTTTTTTCTTTTCTTTGGGAGGCCAGATGTCCTGCTGCAAAGCAAAAGTAGATTTGTGCCTGCTGCTTTGGGCAGATTGGGATCAGGAAGAATTAATTTCCTATCCAGAAAACATTGGTTTGATATTCTTTATTTTTTCCTTTTTAAGTATATATTCTTTCCTCAAACAGCCTCACCTTTCTAGTCTACACATTTTCAATCCTTTTGGCCACCTAACTGATTAATTTTTATAGGCCTGAAGTTATCATGACAGTATATCTTCCAGTCCCACATTTGTCCTGAACAGTTTTGTGCTTATCAGCCGCACAGTTTGCCTACCTTGGAGAGAATAGAAAGGCAATGTACTTTTTTCCTTAAACTGAAGAGCTTAAAGAAAGAATGTAAAACATGAGATAAGTGTGCATGAGTAGGACTCCATTCTTTTTTGAACACAGTTTTTAAGTTTCAAAATAAATATTTAGAAAGTAAGTTCAGTATGCTATTAAATGAGAAACGTATGCTTTTCTCAACTCAATATTCTGCGTTCAGGCAGTACCCAGAAAAATAAGTTAAACAGGCGGGTTGGGTTCACACAGT